ACTTACTTGATAAAGCAACTAAGAGAGAGAATTGACTCTAATTTTGAAAGAAATTCTCCTGTGGGAAAAATCCTATCAAACTAACTTGCATGCTACATAGAAATCTTTCCTAAAAGGAAGAATAAACTGATGCAGCAAACTTCATTGCTGCCTTATTTGAAAAAGTTGCCAGAGTCACCCCAATTTTTAGCAACCACCATTCTGATCAATCAGTAGTCATAAACATCAAGGCAAGACCCTCCAGCAATAAAAAGATTAAGACTCACTGAAGGCTCAAATAACCACTAGGATTTTAGCTTTAAGTATTTTTAAATTAAGATACGTATTTTTTTAGATCCAGTGGTATTGCATACTTAATTGACTACAGTATAGTGTAAACATAACTTTTATATGGCCAGAGAAACAAAAAATTTGTCTGACTCATTTGCTGCAATATTTGCTTTATTTCAGTGATGTGGAACAAAACCTACAATATATCCAAGGTGTTCCTGTACCTTTTTTTTTTTTTGCAGGTGAATAAGCAATCCTTTTAACAAAAAGAAATAAACTTCAACTTTTTCAAAGATGTGAGATGAGCACATTTTTCCTTGTGTTCTACACCTTGGGACACATTTTGTGGGAATAGAAGCATAAAGTATTTACTCAACCTCAAAATAATTCCTCTATATAGTTTCCTGCATATTTCTTATTTGGCTCCCATTCATCCCTTGGATTAAATTTCACAAGTTTATAACCATTTGTTAATATAATACTAAAACTCAACAATGAGCCTCAACAGGTTTAGAAAATCATTCTCCAGGCTTTAAACCAGTGTCTCTTAACAGGTGTTAAGAGAAAAACTAAAGAATGTGGTATGTGCTATGGGGGAAAAAATTCTTCCCTTGTGCAAATAAACTTGGTTGCCTAAGCATTAAATAGACTCCAACAAGCTCTTTTCTTTCCATAAATTTTTCTTCAATATGCTAATCCAGATTGCTAATATCCAAGAGAGGAATTTAATATGAGACATTTGTCAAGCTGTTTTGACCGAGGAAATCTTAGAAAGTGAGTATCTCTAATAAATTGTGTCTCCACTGAATTGAATTTGGAAAATACTGAAATATTTCCCAGATAAGTCTATCTTTAAGGAACTTCAGAAGAAATAATCCTAAAAATGTCCACACAGTAACTATCGTTTTTACTTTTCTTGCTAACAGATAACGCTGTTCCCTCTTCTTACATTCAAGGGGAAAAAAAAGGAACATCCAGTACCCATTAACTCCCTGAAGGCAATTGTATCTTTATCTTTTCTGTCTACTGAATACTTCTAATTCCTTTAATCTTTCTTTAGAAGTCTCATTTTAAAACATGTGAGTGACTATTAGTGCTCCCTAAATCTTCCACAGTTTTTCTGTATTTTCTTAATAATTTCAGCTCTAAACTTTGAAAACAAAAGTGAAAAATTAAATAAAACTTTTTTCTCAGTGATTCATAATTATAACAGTTATCAGTATTAGAATCATATTATTTTTAAAAATAGGAGCAGTATATTGCATACTGTTTAGAAAAGACTGCATATTGAATCTGTGAGCCCAGAATGCAGGGAAGAAATTCTGGATCAAGTTGGCATGTCTTTTAACTTAGTTATTTCCTTCATTTCTGTCATTTTTTTCCTTACATAGTCTTAATAGGAAAGACAATATGCATAAGGCTCATTTTTTCACCTTAATTAAACTCTATTCCTATCTTAACCAGGAAATTGGGTTTCTGGTATAGAAACTTTATAACACAAAATATTTATGCATCTAGGATATAAGATTTTCTCCATCATAAAATGAAAAGGGTTTTGATTTGGAAATACAGTCCAAAGGGGGAAAAAAAAACCCACCATTAAAGTGAAATTTATCTCAAAATAACCAAACCATCAAAGGCTTATTTCTATTTTCTTAAGAGAAAAATATATTCATGCCTATCTGCTATAAACCCCAAATGAATGAATCCTTCAGGACTAACTTCCCTTGATAATAAATCTGCAATGTTAAAAAAAAAAATCCAAAATAACAAATTGTATAATCTTTGGGGACTTGGATACTTGAAAATTCAGTCTAAGGGCTGAAATGAAAGAAACAGACCAGTAAATTGCTAGTTTGATGGCAGAGGGGATGGTGGCAGTGGTTAAAGGGTGACTGATAGCAGGGAAGGCAGGATCAGGAAGGCAAAGATAGCAGACTTTTGTCTGTAACACAGCACAGCACGTGTGTGTGTGTGTATGCACGAGTGTGTGTGTGTGTGTGTGTGTGTGTGTATGTGTGTGTTTGTGGATGGGGGTGGTGAAAGTAATGGCAGCAGCAGAGGCAAAGCCAAGAGTGATGGTGGCAGGAACAGCAATGAAAGAAACAGCACACGATGCACAATACTTGGCATGTTTGTAGTCTGGAGGCAAGATTTAAAGAAAATCAAAAGTTGGTACCCAAATGAGAGGAAATCAAGTCCACTAGGCTGAATGAAGAGGCAAGTCAGACAACCAGCTCCAAGACAAGTACCACAGAATACAACTGGGATTAGACACATTGTCATATCCATCAATGTTCAAGAGCAGGAGGAGCAAGGGGCTGCACACAGGAGTGCTGGATAAATTCCAATGCATGTTTTATTGCAGCTGCAACTGTCCTTTAATATTGTAGCTGAAAAAGCCTCATCTTTATTCATTCAGTCTTAAAGGGCTTCTGGTCACAGTGCGTAATTAGATCTTTACAGTAGACGACCGAGTCCTCTCAGAAAGCAGTAGTTATGGTCACAAAAGACACATGTAGTGTTGCGGGTGATGGATAATACCAACAGCTGAAAATCTACCTGTGATAATTAAGAAACCAGGGGATAAAGAGCAGGAGGAAGCAACAGTCAAATTATTCCAAGTATAGGTACTTTCTAAACAGATCATGACTTGGGAATTTTCCTCAGGTTTCTCATCTTATTTCTATATCCAAAAATGGAATCTTGACAGTCAAGTATTTTATGTAGTGCTTCTTATTGCTAATGTCTGAGTCAGTCATGCAGGAATCAGAATCTACTTCGAGAAGTTTTAATAAAGATAACTTTAGATCTGGACAGCGTGAAGAAAAATAAAAAGGAACATTGCAGCACCCAGGGAATGGCAACAGAAAGAAGTTACGACCGGTCTAAGGACAAGAGAAAAATAGTGTTACTGGAGTACAATTAGAGCTGGAGGCATAGAAGAGAGCCACCCAACCAGGATCACAGTGATAAAAAGATGTAGTCACTGCTAGAAATCATGGCTTAGAGCAGGAAAGAATGGCAGGGATGGGGGTATAACCCAAACTCTCTCTCTTACACTCTGTTCTCCTACCATTGTCTTGCATTTGTTGGATTTTTAAAAGAAGCCAACTATCAAGGGGGCCTAGGTGGATGTAGCTTATAGAAGTCAAGGTTAGTTTCTCAAGGCATAGAACAAGACAGAGAAGAGCAGAACATGGATCTGGGTGGGTTGAGTTACAGATAATAACCTGTAGATATTTTATGGAATTAATGGGACACATAGTTAAACCACGCCTAAAATGAATGCTCTTGGTCACAAATATAGAGTCTTCCCTGTTTGACTTCCCTAATGTAAGGTCCTCAAATCATAAGAGATGGGTCATGAGTGGTAGGAAATTCAGAGTTATTAAAACATGTTCCAGAACTCATGTGTGTGCCATGTATTATTTGCCAAAGAATGGGTGTCACTAACCAGAATAACCAAAATTGTGTGAGGTACAGTAGTCTTCTGAAATAATTTTAATATTGGGAAATATATTCTAGATGTTTCCTTCTTAGTATATTTGGATGGTGACAATGAAAAATTGTTTTGCTTTTAACGCTGGTCATTTAAAACTGATTTCTTAATTTCTTAGCAAAGGTTAAATAATCATTTCTGTCTCTTCTTCAACAAGTGCTGGGTTCACTCGGTGTTTGATAAGTTCATTTAAAAATGGAGTTATAGACACGCTCTAATAACATGCATCATGTGGTGTTTGGTTTTGTTCTTGCGGTTGTCGATTAATTAGTTTGGTTTGGGATTTAGTTACAAAGAACAGAGCCTCAGTTTGGTATCAGTGGTTCTTTCTGACCCAAAAGTCATTATATCTTCTTTATGATATTCTCTCATTAAAACTGATGTTAGCCTTCCTTGTTGACTAAACGCATGGTACAGACTTTTACTACATTTTTTTCTTTCTTGCTTGCTTTTTTTGAGATGGAGTCTTGCTCTGTCACCCAGGCTGGAGTGCAGTGGCACAATCTCAGCTCACTGCAGCCTCTGCCTCCCAGGTTCAAGCAATTCTCCTGCCTCAGCCTCCTGAGTAGCTGGGACTACAGGCATACACTGCCACACCTGGCTAATTTTTGTATTTTTAGTAAAGATAAGGTTTCACTGTGTTGGCTAGGATGGTCTTGATCTCCCAACCTTGTGATATGCCCCCACCTCAGCTTTCCAAAGTGCTGGGATTATAGGCGTGTGCCACCGCACCCAGCCTATTACATTTTTTTTTCTAAAAATGACTTTATTGAACTGATTATAAATATCACAAAATAATGCTTCCATGAATGTAAGATTTTCATATGTGTGTGTATGTATATACCATCAAAACAGAATCAAACTTTATAACGTAAAAACATTATATATTTAAAGTGAAAATAATAGTTGAAAAGGGTAAAGAAATTTTCAAAAATAAAACCAATTTTTCTATGGCAGGTTATGGGCGTAGAAGGAGAAAAAGTGTGAGAAACAGTAGCCACACTCAAAGCATGGTTAAAGGATTGTACCAGCCTGTCAAAATTATACTGCATATTGTATGGATAAAAGTATTAAAATTGTTCAACAGAAAAATCATTGGAACAAAAGAGGTAAGTCATGACTATGGTGGATGGTCAGGAAACACAACTGCTGTTTTTCCATGGGAGCTTTTGTTGCTACTTTTCTAACACTTCAATGATTGAAAAGAAATCAAACTGCGAGAACTTACTGCCACTCCAGTGAGCCCTGGGGGATTTGTCACAAATTTGGAACTTGAGTGGCCTCAAGCTTCACAGGTCTGCTCCTCAGAAGTGACAGAAAGCAAAGAGAAAGCAGAGCATTAGTTACATGGAACTGAGCACCTACATATTTTCAAATGGTGGGTGAACTTCAGGCCACCTTTTAAGTTTTACATTAGACCAAATGACCAAAAAATTTCCTCTAAAGCATGTGCTATTCTTAGGAGTTTCCAACAACCACCATTATTTTGTAGCTATTCACAGATAATTCTGAACCTACTCTTGCCTAATAGAAAGCTTCTTAAACACTGAAAATTGGATAAATAACTACAATATAGAGTGACTTTACAACTCCTTTTAGACTATTTTATAGGGTGTCATTTTACTAAAAACCTCAGAAAGGATAGGAACATTCAAGGAACTTAGCTCTTGATCCTAGAGAGCTGGTGAACATCAACAGCTTATTCTGATAGTAGATTGTAGAGAGTGCAATTGACTCCAGCTACATGGTGCCCTGTATTCCCTGAATAATGATATAATCACTAGAAAAAAGTGTGTTTACTCTTTGTCTGCACTTTAAACAAAAGTATACCACTTGAAGTATTTACTCAAATATTGTTTCATTCTAAATCAGTGTTTCTTAAGTGAGGCCCATGAATTGTAATCACCTGCAGTGTTTGATCAAAATGCAATTTCCTAGCCCCCATTACCAGGTAATTCATATGCATGTTAACATTTGAAAACCACTACTACAAAGAACTCATGTATTATATTAGCAATAAGAATATGAATATTAGAATCTACTTTGCTATACTGTTTGATACTCTTAAAGATTTTATGAAAAAAAGGAAAGTTAAGGAGAAAACAGTTTGAGTAATTTGAATATGTCTAAAAATTATCTAATATAAACTATAACACATAGTTTTAAATTTCTAATTCCCCACCTCTCCTGACCCCCACTTTCTAGTTAAGGATTTTGGATTAAAGTCGATTCTAGAATTCTGAATAATCGTGTATTTTCTACTTCCACAGTCTAGAAGAAAAGAATCTAAGCTTAAACAGCAAGCAATATTTTGGCTGATTCTTAAATACTTTTAAAAGGGCCTCACGATTCTATATTTCATCATTTTATGTAGTAAATCATAAATCTTAATACTAATTAATGAATTTTTAGGGACATTTTTATTTAAGCAACTTGTTTCCCATAAATTATATAACCTAAGCCAGGAGCTTCTCAACTACAAAGAAGTATCAGATCAAGAAAACTTCCATTATGCATAAAGTGATAGAACAACTGATGTTTTAGGAGGAGCTCCATTAAATACATATAAGGAGGAGGCAAAATGATCAAGAAATTGGTTGGTTATAAATTAAACACTCAAAGTACAAATAAAAACTTATCTATGTACCAGCAACAAAGGGAGAAAATAGAAAAAAAGAAAATAAATATGCACCATACAAGCAAAAATATAAAATAGCTAGAAATCTAAGAAAGCTAACAATGAAACTGTAAATTTTACTGAGGGACATGAAAGATCAGGCCCTCTTCTCTTTTCCTTCTTTTTCCTTACTGAACATTATTAAACTAAACTAACTGGGTAAGACAGAGGAAAGTAAGCATCTTAATGGGGGAGGGTTTGCATCCAAGATGGCCCAGAGAAAGGGATCAGAGCCTGAGCATGGTGAGGAGAGGTCTCAGACAGGGAGGGAACACTGTGGGGAGCTAGGGGATTTGCAGAATGAGGAGTCATTCAAACAGAGGCAAGTTCAGACATAGACTGCTCAATCCCAAACAGGATGAGGGTGTTCCTGCAGGAGGGCAGCCCAATAAGGAGCATCAGAGCCCAGGTGGGGTGAGGAGGATGTCTGTCAGAGGAAGGCACAGTGGCAGCAATGGGAGACTGGTTCAATACAGGGCAATTGGTCAAATGGGTAAATATCTTAAGAATAATAAAAGCCGTGTTTCTCATTAACATAAAAATGTTGCAAATATGAAAAGGGAGAAAACCCAAATAATTATGTGGTGTTTGATTAGAATTTTAGGTAGTAGTGCGAACTCATTATTTTTAATAGAAAGATATAGAAATATAAAGAGATATAAATTGGATAAATATATATTTCCGAACTCTGTCCACTGAGAGAGCCTGTGAGGAGTGGTTCCCAAATAGTAATGAGGATACCCAGCACCCAAATATTGGCTTCAAATATCACTGTCCTCTAAAAGGAAATGAGACTTCTAAAAGATAACATAGGAAATAAGTCTAGAGGACTCTGGGTTTGGCATTAACTTTTATACACCACTCCAAAGACACAATCCACAAAAGAAATAATGGATAAGCTGTACTTGACTACAATAAAAAAAAAATATGCAAAAGATACTACTAAGAGAATGAGAAGACAAGCCAAAGACTAGATGAAAATGTTTATTAAAGATATATCTGATAAAAGATTCATCCAAAATATACAAGGAACTCTTAAAACTCAACAGTAAGAAAATGAATAACCTGATTAAAACATTGGCCAAAGTCCTTAGCAAACACCTCACCAAAGAAGCTATACAGATGTAAATAAGCATAGAAAAAGATGCTCCACATCGTATGTCATTAGAGAAATGCAAATTAAAACACTAACGAGGTACTTCCACACAGCTATTAGAAAGGGCAAAATCCAGAATGCTGACAACACTAAATGCTGGCAAGGAGGTGGAACAAAAGGAACTCTCATTGACTACTAGCGAAAATACAAATGGTATAGCATCTTTGCAAGTCAGTTTTTTAATTTCTTACAAAAGTACTTACACTTGTACTGAATGATCCAGCCATCACACCCCTTGGTATTTCCACAAAGAAGTTGAAAACTTATGCTCATACAGAAACCTGCACACAGGTGTTTATAGCAGTTTTATCTATCATTTCCAAAATTTAAAAGAACCCAAGATGTTCTTCAGTAGGTTAATGGATAAACTATCATGTATCCTGACAAAGGAATATTATTTAGCACTAAAAAGAAATGAGCTATCAAGCCATGAAAAGACATGGAGGAAACTTACATGCTTATTACTAAGTGAAAGAATTCAATATAAAATTGTTATGCACCATATGATTTCAGATAAATGACCTTTTTAAAAAGCCAAAACTATGGAAATAGTAAAAAGCTTGGTGGTTGCCAGGGGCTGGTAGGGAGGAAGATATAAATAGGTAGATCATAGAGCCCTAGAAGATTTGTAGAGCAGTGAAACTATTCTGCATGATACTATGATGGTGGGCATATATCATTATACATTTGTGGAATCCACACACTGTATTACACCAACACTGAATCCTAATGAAAATTTGGATTTTGGATGATAATTATGTGTCACTGTGGATTCACTGTTCATAACAATGTATCACTCTGGTGTAAGATGCTGATAATAGAAGAGGATATGCAAGAATGAGGTCAGGGCATATATGGGAAATCTCTGCATCTTCCAATCAATTTTACTACAAATGTGAAATTGCTGTAAAAATTAAAGTATATATATTATATATATATATGTATATATCTAAAAATCATGGCAAAAATTGATTACTGAATTTGAAAAATGCTCACAGATACTGATTTCATCATATTTCATACAAATAAAAAGTTATATAAGTACAAGATTGATTTTGTATATTGTATATGTGTGCTAGATTTGATAGGAAAAGTACATGAATAAAAAGAAATTGTTTGCTCCATATTTGCCCAAAACTACTCTTATTCATAAAGAAACAAACCAAAATGTAGATTAAAAACAAAAAAAAAAGGGAACACAAGGATCCTTGGAGAAATGGCTGGTTCAACAGCTAGAGAAGGAAAAGCACAAGATGATCCAGGAACATCTTACTGGGCCAGAAGGCAAGAAAGTGCTTTCAGTATGATAGGGTTATGGTAAAAGTTCATGTGTTCTACCCTAACATGTTTCTACTAGTGAAATAGGGAAAATTTTAGCATGAAAGAATAAAATGAGAGCAATAAAAACTGTGACCCATTTAATGAAAATAGAATGAATACATACTGATACAGTCAATTAACTAATTAAAAGTTAGCTGGGCATGATATATTACAAAGGGGAAAAGAATACTGTCTTCATCTGTTTGTATTGCTATCAGAAATATCTGAGGTTGGGTACTTTATAAAGAAAATATATTTGGCTCACAGTTCTCCAGGCTGTGCAAGAAGCATGGTATCAGCATCTGCTTCTGGTGCTGCCAGGAAGTTTCTGCTCATGATACAAAGCAAAGAGGAGCTGGTATGTAAAGATCACATGGTAGGAAGCAAGAGAGAGGAAAAGGAGATACCAGACTCGTTGTAACAAGTAGATGGCAAAGGAACTAAGAGTGAGAACTCATTTAATCCCATGAGAATGGCACTAAACCATGAGGACATATCCCTCATAACCCAAATACTTTTCACTAGGTCACACCTCCTATATTGGGGATAAAGTTTTAACAAGAGTTTTAGAGCAGACAAATATCCAAATGATATTAGACACCTTTACAGGGGAGAAGGCTGGCAGATACCACCTTAATCAAGAGCCATCTGATAGGATGCAGTAAGATAATAGCTTCACTTCTGTGACATTTTTCCAAAACATGCATCTTATAAAAGTAATCATGAAGAAATATCAGATAATTCCAAACTTAGAGACTATAAGACAACAGTTCTATAATCCTTAAAAGTGTCGAGAGAGTGATATTATCAAAAGGGTGGAGTAAGAGCAATTTGGTTTTACACTCCCTCATAGGAAACCAAAATCAATTATCTAGAGCCAAGATTATCACCAGAGATATCCCAGAACTAAAAACTGAGGCCATGATGACTCCAGGTATCACAGAGAAGTGAAAAACCACAAGCAGGAGGTAAGAGAAACAAAACTCTCTGGCCACAACACCCTTCCCCTAGCCAGGCACTATGCAGAAAGGTTCTACCAGATTCAGATTTTACCCTGGAAAAAAGTGAGATCAAGGAAGACTGACAGTTGCGTCACCAGTTAGGTTTCTTCACAGGAAAAACATTTCTGCTTGAATCCACAGGA